GGCAAGATGGAGACATATTGATTGGAAGATGGTATAGTTAGGTGATGACATATTTAAAGGATAATCTTGAACTAGAAATGTATTCACTTATATATTCCTTTAAGCCTCCATCTTTGGTCCTTTATAATTTAGGATTGATGAGAATGACTTTGAAAAGGACATTGATTGAATGTTGATTATATTTCAGCTGACAAAAGCCCATGAAATTATCAGAGATGTATGAATTCAGTTATGAATTATTTGTAGTTCTAAAAATTTCTAGCAATTCATAAGACTTGAGTAAATAAGTTATATCAAATTTATATCAAGAAATGCAATGCAAACATTTAGACTCCTGTAATTTGTAAAGACATGGTGAATTTAATTAAAAATTTTTTATGCCATGTGTTGTTATGTGCTGTGGAGTCAGTTCCGCCTCATAGCAACCCTGTATAGGGTTTCTGAGGCTGTAAATCTTTATGGGAGCAGAACAGCTTGTAGTTTCGAACTGCCGACCGTGAGGTTCGCAGCCCGATTTGTAACCACTATGCTACCAGAGCTCCTTTTTATGCCATGTTGTTGTTGTTGTTATGTGCCATGGAGTTGGTTCTGACTCATAGCAACCCTGTACAGGGTTTCCAAGGCTGTAAATCTTTACAGCAGAAAGCCTCATCATTTTCCCGCGGAACAGCTGGTAGTTTCGAACTGCTGACCTTTGCGGTTCGCAGCCCGATTCGTAACCACTACGCTAACAGAGCTCCTTTGTAGTCCTATTTTGTTTGTTTCTTTATAAGGAACAAAATCTCTTTTGGTAAACAGAAGGAAAGCGCAGTAAATATCTTTAAATTTAGGTCAATGTACAATTTAACAATTTGTCGATCATCATCCCCAGTTAAGTAGTTTTGCTTATCAGAGTGCAATGTTTCTTGTGTATTCAGAATATCTATATAGCTATAGCAGAGACTCTCCCTTATTTACACATGCAGACATTCTTTGATAAAGGTGCCTCTTACCTTGTCATGCTTCCTCCTGACCTACCTAAGAGGGAATTCTCCCTGCTTCTTTGTCATGCTTGTACATAAAGTGAGATTTGTTTTCTCCCTGGTGTTCCTTAGTGCCTATCAAGTAAACTTTTACAGTTGAGAGGTAGAACTCTCACCTTTCTCATGGGAGGTCCAAGCTCTTCAGTGTAGCCATATACCAGTGGCTTGTGTGCTGCTGAGTAGGTTTCAGTGGATCTCACAGTCTAAGACCCCTAGGAAGAAAGTCCTGGCACTCAAGCTACTGAAAATCAGCCCACAGATCATAGCATGGGGTCAACAGGAAGCAGGGCCCAACTCAGTGTCAACTAACAGCAATAATGGAATAAAATAGCTAGAAAAAGAAAAAAGAGGTCATATTTAGAAAGGGAAGAAAAAGTCTAAGGAAAAAGAACCAACCAACTTTTTGTTTTATTTTTTTCTTAAACACTTGCTATGTGTTTTACGATGTAAGCTTTGAATCCAACAATCCTTTGAGATTTAAATCACAACTTCCCTAATATAAATTGAGAGGTATATAATCTTTCCAAATTCAGTGTATAGTTAGTAAATGATTTCCCTGATCCTAAAGTCCACATTTTTTTTCTTCCTCATTATACCATGGAGAAATTTCTTCCGGCATGGACGTAACATCTGATAGAAATTGTTTGTGTAAGTGCAGTGCTTAGGGATTGGCAAAGATCTGTAAGTCAAGGAATAGATGGAAGTAAGACTCCCATCTATTTTCAATAAAAGAATAATATTTTAAAATCATAATTGGTACAGTATTAATGAAGATGCTTATATTGGACTACCTTACTTGTTAAGTGCCATTGAATCAATTCCAACTTATAGTGACCCTGTATTGGGTTTCCGAAGAGTGTCTGGTGAGTTTGAACTGCTGACCTTGTTGTTCAAGCTGACCTTGCAGACTAGCACAGTATCTTGCAGTACCTCACGAGGACTCCAACAGATAGCAATTATTTGAGTTAGACTAAATAGGAAAGAAAAAAAACTATATGAAAACACTGGAGAGTAACCAAAAGCAGACAAAAACTGAAAAGGAAAACTGCACTGTATTAGTGTTTTGGTGACTTTTTCAGTGATGTTGTTGTTGTTGCTAAGTGCTGTGGTTCCAACTCACAGTGACCCTGTAAATCTTTGCGGGAGCAGAAAGCGTCGTCTTTCTCCCATGGAGCTCCTGTGAGTACCATCTGCCGACCTTGTGGTTTGCACTGCAGCCACAAATTTATGCAGAAAGCTGCAATCTGATAACTTGAGGAGTCAGAGGACAAAGTCCAGGACTGTTAGAGTAGCTTCAAAGGAAGGAAAAAATCTTGAAAAAGAGGAAGCTGCATAGGAAAGAGCCTCAAAATCTCTATATAAACAGCCCAAATACTTGGCTGATTCCTCAACTAAGTGTGTATGAGGGATAGTCCAAGGAACCTACTGGAAAGCAGTAGTTGGAGGGCTGAATGGAGAAAGGGATTCAACTGCTTGCCACTACCGAGGAGGCAGTGTTTAAATTGTGAGTTACGCAGAGTTAAATTCCATACACAAAAATTTGCACTCTCAAGAGGAACATAGTATAATCCAATGTCTCTACAATTTATAATCCACAATGTCCAGTAAAAATAAGAATCACTAGATAATTGAAGAAACAAGAAAATGTGACCTACAATTAAAAGAAACCAACTTCCTGATGATGTTAGACTTAGCAGAGAAGGACTTTGAAGCAGTTAATATGTATGTATTTAAGGACTTTAAGGAAAATAAGCTCATGATGAATACACTGGCTATCTTATCTGAGAAATCAAAGCTAAGAAAGTTCTAGAAATGAAAAATACAGTATCTGAAATAATAAATGCACTGGATGAACTTAACAAAAGATTGAAAAGGCAGAAAAAAAGGTTCAACAAACATGAAGACACATTGAAAGAAATCATTCCACCTGAAGAACAGAATGAAAAAAATTTGAAAACCAATAACCTATCTTTAAGTGCCAGTGTCAAGTAGTCTAAAATACATGTAATTGAAGTCTCAGGGAAGAGAAAAAAAGAAATGCTACTTGAAAAAATAATGGTCAGGAATTTTCCATATTTGGTTTAAAAAGGTTACCAAGAGGTCTA